TCTTTGCGGATCATGGCAAATCAGGGCTCAGGGCTTCTACGGCTTGTAAGCCTTGTGGGGCGGAATTCTAGGGTCTACAGGGATTATAGGGTTTGTAGGGCATATAGGGAACGCGGGTTTGGGGATTTGGTCTTTCTCAAGCCAGGAGTTTAGGGTGGAGGCAGCTCAAAATCACAAAGAAGGATGATGCAAAGCTAGCGAAGAAAATGAAACTATTCTCAGGGAATGTAATTATGTGTGATTGCCTGAAGCAGCATGGCCTGTACGGAAGACGAGTTACCACGATGATACAATGAATTTGCGAATAAGTATTCGTAATAAGAGCCTCTCTCTCTCTCTCTATAATATATATATATATATATATATATAGACACACACACACATACACTTCGAAACTTCTGTGGTAGACCATCCTCCCCAACACCCTACACCAAACCCTAAATCCGAACGCTCAACGCCACAATAAGCCCCAGATGCGGATCCATCGCTCGAAGTCACGTCCTGCGACGTCCACAGCTGCAGCGGCCCGACGCAGCCTCATCTAGGTTTCTGAATCGCCCGTTTATAATCGGGGTACCCTGTTTTCCTACGATTTCGGCTTTAATACGGGGACCCGAAGTGAAAATAGGCAAAAGGGGTACTACTGAGGAAGCAAGTCATGTTGGCTGACAGCGTCTATATCGCCAGTCTTCTGCTTTCAGAACTCAAAGAAGAACATGAGGGTCTAAGGTTTCAAGGCCAGGGAACAACATGCTGAACATACATCTCGATGAATAAACAAATGAGTGTATGTGTGTATATATAACATATGTAAAAACATGTATGTATATATATATACATGCAGTATACACACATTTTTTTGATATTTATTTAGGCTCTGTTGCGCTTGGAAGCTCTGGCCCCTGTTCCAACAACCTCAACCCTGAACCCCAAATAACCTAAACTCAATCGCACACGGAAACCTCAAAAATAATCTAAACTCTGAAACACGCAAGCCCGAGGCAAGCTTGCGGCTGGGCAGCCCCTGGGCGAGCCTATGCTCCGGCCGACTCCGACGCTGGATCATGACCTGGGGTGTACAAGGTATGCAAGGTTTGCGGCCCAGGGAGTGTGGGTTTGGGATGGTTTCGTTTTCCGGTTCTAATTTTAGGGGCGTTTACAGGGTGTACCAAAAGAAACGACTAGTATGCCCATTGAGCATCTTCTGTTTAAGGGGCTGCGGCGAGACGGGGTTTTCTACACCGATGAAGCTTGTCTTCGCACAAAACATGCACAGACCTGCACGTGTTTGCCACATGTGTATATTGTCTACGGGAACACCTTAGGTATACAAGGTCTCTAGTAAGGGTTGTTCATGTCCATTAACTATGCATGAATTAATTATGCTCTTGGCCCCGGAGAATGAGAATGGTGGTGACGATGGTGAAGGGGGGATGAGGATCAGAATGAAGCACCCATTGAATTATGGCATTAGAAAGACGACGACAACGTCATTGACTATCATAATGTCGCTGGGAGTGGCGAAAACGATGATCATTACGATTATAACCATGACCTTGATGATGATGATGATAACGATGATGATGATGATGATGATGATGTTGAAACGCTTACATAAGTGGCATCAAGGTGTCAAATCAAAGAAACACGCTTGCGATGAAGAACAAGAGTAAAACAGTGATAATAAGAAAAATGAAACTAGAAGACAATTGGCCCGAAAGCATCATCAGCGAAGAGTGTGGGGCTATGTGATAGATCCAGTGTGTAGGATCGTATGCAGATACAGTCAAGAGTCATGGAGTCCATGAGTCATGAGTCATAAAGTCATAGAGTTACAGTGAGATAGCGTCATAGAGTCATAGTGGGATCAAGTCACAGAGTCATGGAGTCATCTATGTAGCATGCACTTGACTCGATGTAGTTCACTCTATGCTCTATGTGTGGGAACGCTTAATCGAGATCCCCGTAGCGTGGTGGCTCATAGCCCGACCGGGACCTCGAGATGCAGATACAGTCAAGAGTCATGGAGTCCATGAGTCATGAGTCATAAAGTCATAGAGTTACAGTGAGATAGCGTCATAGAGTCATAGTGAGATCAAGTCACGAGTCATGGAGTCATCTATGTACCATGCACTTGACTCGATGTAGTTCACTCTATGCTCTATGTGTGGGAACGCTTAATCGAGATCCCCGTAGCGTGGGGGCTCATAGCCCGCCCGAGGAGGCGAATCCCTGGGAAGGGTTGCATTCCCGATGGACGACAACGGTGCCACCCCCTGGCTTTAAAAGAGAGAATTAGATACCGAGATGTAGAGAGTAAGTCATAGAGGCATAGAGTCAAGTAAGTAAGTAAGTAAGTAAGTAAAAGTAAGTAAGTAGGTAAGTAAGTAAGTAACTAAGCAAGTCAAGTAAGTAAGTATAAGTAAGTATAAGTAAGTATAAGTAAGTATAAGTAAGTATAAGTAAGTATAAGTAAGTATAGAGATAGCATAGAGTCCAGTGTCAAGTGTCAAGTAAGTTAGTAAGTAGATTGAAGTAAGTAAGTAAGTAAGTAAGTCGTAAGCATAACATAGAGTCAAGTATCAAGTGTAGAGTCAAGTATCATAGAGTCAAGTGTCAAGTGTAGAGAGTCAGTCATAGGGGTCAAGTAAGTAAGTAAGTATCAAGTGTAGAGTCAAGTATCAAGTGTAGAGTAAAGTATGGAGTCAAGTAAGTTGATTCTATGTCTGTCATCTATGTACTCAGCTGCGGCGTTCCACACGGAAGAACCCTTCGCGATGCTTTCGGGAATTATGATGATGGTGATGATGTTGATCATCATTTTATTATTGGTGTGATGATGACCAAGGCGGTAGCGCTGGTACTGGTGCCGGCATATCTCCCTGCGTGTCTTAGTCTTAGTGTCTCTGTCTGTCGTTGTCGGTTTTGATGTATTTCTCCTAGATTCTGAACATCCCGCAGCCCCTACTGACCGTGCCACGGTCTCCGGCAGAAGCTCCTTTTCGCTGGCTCAGTCCGTGGACCCTACCCTGCTTTTTGCCTGTAAATCCTAGAAGTTTTTAAGTTTTACATTCATTCACTACACACAGAAGCTCATACAGAAGAAAAGCCTCCTTACCTTACCTCTCACCCTGACATCCTGGAGTATGAGCATGAAAGCGAGAAGCCGTAAATTGGCTATTCTGGCCTTAGAAATTACTGTGCGTCACCCCCCCTCCCCCCTCCCAACGACTTCATTTAGGTCATGTGTCCAGGCATTGCAAGCTCCATCAAACCGCAACTCCAACTGCCCAACTGCTGAGCCCTGAAAGCACGCGCACCCCTGTATCTACGAGTGCACCGCAGTACACCCTGTCAATCATCCCAGATCAGCTCTCCGAAGCACAAAGAACGAATTCAGCAGCATAATCCTCAGTGCCATGCACGCTCAAGTCCAAAACCCGGGAATCTCCAGAGTCCAACCGGAAATCTTCGATAGCAACGAGCATCTTTCACTGAACACCCACTGTACCCCTCGTAGCAGCTGAAAGGCCAGGGAGGCATGCTGCAAGTCCTCCGGCTTCGCATCGCTCATTGGATCCTTGATCGGGACACAGCTGCTGACGAGCTCTCTTCATGCTTAAAGCTCTGAGCTCTCTCAATGCGGATTATAGACTATAGACTTAGCTCTTGAGGGGTTCGGGTCTTTTCAATTAGCCCTGGCTTCAGGGCAGTGTGGTGGCAGCAATTGACCCGCAAACGTTTAAGCTCGGCTTCAAGACCGGCGTGCTGGACTCTGCAAGGACGCTAGTACAAACAGGACCGAAAACAAACCAACAAAAATAAAGCAAGATCAGGGCTGAATCAAGCCTAGACCCCAAAACGAGGATGCTGACAATTGAGTTCGCCAGAGGTGAGATGTTTATGCCTTTCTGAAGGAGCAGGTATAATTAAACACAGTCAGCCTATCGAATACCCCCTCCTCCGATGAGACAGCCAAAGCGGCCCAGCTTGGGCAGGTGCACTGCTCCGGCGCCAGGGCAGCGTCGTTCTCTGCACCCCTCGGCTTGTGATCTTGGATGTAATGCTTCGCAACCCACACCTTTGCAATTCTGACCTGCCTGCTGCTCAGCAAGACCTGGAAAAATGAAGCATGCACGTGCATTTATAGTAATGTGTATATATATATATATATATGTATGTATATATGTATATATACCTTTACTTAGAAGTATATGCGTGTGCAATGTGCTACAAGGCACACGCCTTCTACACGTTACGCATGTGGCTCCACGACATGGTTTTAGGATTGCACAAGCAACGAAACTTGAGTTGCACCCGCAAACAGCATACACCTGCGTGCAGCAACATGTACATGCGGAGACCTGCAGGGACACACACACACACACATGGCGTCCACACAGGAATAGCAAGCGCTCGTGCGCATTGTACATACACCAGACTTTGCACTATGCAGACCTTCACTTGTGCAGTCGAGCTAATTACAAAAAGGCCTTAGTAATATTGGAATACGGTTTTGGGGCCCATTAAACTATAATTCTTATAAGGAACTCCCCAAAGTAGTATAGGTAATTAATTATTAAGGCCTCTATAGTACATGCGATCAGGTGGCTCGGGCGCCGGGGGAGGGCCAGGCGGGCCACCATAGTAGTTGTAGTCGCCATAGCCACCTGCAGTGGTAGCCAACTTCCGATGCTGCGTCTTCGACACCGTCACTTTCGCACAAACCAGAATGGGTTGAGGTGTTCAAACACTTGCGAAGAGATTATGACCCCAGCAATCCAGAACTTGAAGCCTAACACACCGACAATCGCTGTGGGCTCTCTTCTTGGCTGCCGCCATCCCTTGCCCGACAATTCGCTGTGTGACCGGGCTTAGGACGACAGGGATAACCTGTGTTGTGGTGTGAGGCATAGTCAGTTACAAGTGGGTTCGGACTCTAACAAACGAGGATTACGAGTTGTTACGTCTACGGAAGTAGGACTCGGCAGTGTCTTGGTTCAACTATCATCCCAGCCTTGATAGGGGCCGTATCTGCCTTGCCCGTAAGCACCCGGGGATGCGTAGTCGTACTGGCCACCATAGCCACCAGAGCCATAGGAGTAGCCACCTGCAAAGCTTCGAGTGGACAAGCTCAGGATTTAATGGACGTCTGGAGGATACCCGCCTTGCCCGTAAGCACCCGGGGATGCGTATTGCCCACCATAGCCACCCGAGCCATAGGAGTAGCCACCTGCGAGATTCGAAAGAAAAAGTTCAGAGCTTCATGGAAGTTTGGAGGAGGAGCAGCTCTCCAGAGATATGCGCGGATTTTAGAAAAAAACATGGAAACTCCACGTTGTAGCCCTCAGGCAGTGAAAGCAAGACGCCATCGAGTCAAATGATGTCAAGCGTGGAAAGTGAAAAGGAAGATGACTTTATCAGCAATGATGGGCCTATTCCGACCTTGGGGTCTGCCATTCAGAGTTTCGCATGCTTCGGACTGTGTTTTGGCTCGTAGATGTGGATGGGTCGGGGTCCGGGTGGGGCCTGCGCTCTACATATAAGGTTCTCGGAGATCCGGAAGTGACAAGACCAGCTTCGGGGAGGCTGCAAGATGAGATTCGGGAATGGTGCTCATCCATTTCGTTTCGCTTCAGCTGGCTGCGTTGGTCGTCGGGTTGTCTCCAAGTCAGGCGTTGCCCACAGGGAGTTCTGGCAAGACTAGATGAAAAGGGTATGAAAGGCAAAACAACGTGCCTTGTGGCTTAGCAGAACCTGCCCATGCTATGCCCAAGCACATGCACTCACACAAACGAGGATTCATCGGCAATTCCAGCACAATCTCTCATCTCGGGCTGCTGGGCGCAGGCCTTGGTAGTTGCCATAGCCACTTTGTCCATAAGCACCGCCATAGCCATCGTCGTAGCCAGCATACCCACCGCCGTATCCATTTCCATAGCCACCTGTCTACGTTTCTCAACTCACAGGGCTTCGGGCGTTGGCGCTTTGCTGGGTTGCTCGAGTGTTGGCTTCAGGGTTGGGTTTGCTTAGGGCTTGCAAGGTTGGGGTACCAAGGACCGGCTACCGGTGACAGGGCATCCTTTGCCGAGATGCGACCCTCCCCAGCCTGGGAACCAATGCACTTCAACTCGGGATCTGTCCGTGAAACCATCGAGCTGCATATTACCGTATCGCACTCCGCAGACATTTCTGCAGACTTCCATTTTGTCCATCTCCATATTGAAACTATAACCGCAAACGCTGAACCCTCAACTGCATATTCTGACGGAAGCCTCATTCGGTTCTGAACCTACCCTTTACTTCACCAATACTACACCCCCTTCTGAGAGTCGAGTCATCATTGTGCCAAGATGCCCGGCGCGGGCGCTTGAACCAGGCCGATACCTTCCGCTCCATGACCCGCAAAACCGAAGCTTTGAACTGAACCAAGGTTTCCTACAAACCGAATTGACCTGCAGGCTTTTCTGAATTCTTCGACACTTTCTCCCTGCTGCTGCAGGCCTATTCAGGTACGTTCCGGGAATATTTTGTGCACTTGGACTTGCACGAATCCGCGCGAGCCATGCAGCGTCAAGAAAATCGCTGCAAAAAGCGAAGAGGCTTCCCGCCCTGCAAGTGAAGTCACATCTCCAGGGGCTTCAGTGACTGCAACCTAAGCCTTAAGGGTCCATGTACCCAAATAGTATATACATTGGCCTTAATGTAGTCCCTATATAGGTATATTGGGCCCAAAGTATACACCAGTTGAGTACATGGACCCTTAGGGAAGGGCTTAGAAGGGTTGCCTGACAATAGATCGGAGCATTCTGACAGAAAGTCCACAGAGACTGCGAACTCGCGCATCTATTGTAGCTACCAAGTCCGCAACCAGCTGAAATCTCGAGCTGTTACATCCAGCTGTTCCGACGGCTTGACAGAAACAAATAATTTACGTCAGGGTCTTTCGGGTCTACGTTTTATGAAAAAACTCACCCTTTTGAGGCTCAAGATTTGACTTCCGCATGTGGGTAACTCAGAGGAAGCAGCGCTATGACACAATTCCTTCCCTATGTCGTGCACTGCCCCAGAACCCATCTTGCAGCCAACGCTACGATGATGTGGTACATGCTTTCGGCGATGCATGGCAGAGCCGTACGCACCCATGCCGCCGAATCGCTTGGATACTGCATCCAGAATGCCTGAAAGCAAAGCTGAAATCTGCGAAACTGGAGGCTGAGTCTTCCAGGCCTCAGAACCGTTCCGCCGCCAACAAGGATATCACCTTTACTCACAACCGCCACGACCAACACCAAAACCTCAAACTACCTCCAGCAAACAAGAAAGTGTATATGTACATGTAAACCTGTAGAAAAATATATATGTTTTATGCATATGCCTGTAAATGTAGAAGTGTGTATGTTTCGATGTATATATGTAGGTATGTACGTATGTAGGTATGCATGTAAATCTGAAGGTTGTATATATATATATATATATATGTAGATATACATCGCGCGTACATACATACATAAACAAAGGGAACATTATAGATAACTGAATACGTATATGTGTATACAGAAGGCTTTAATGTTATAAAGGATGCATGTTCTGCTATCGTAAACTATGCCATACTATATTATGACATGCCTTCTTGTTTTACGTGTTTTTGTATTCCACTACATGATGTTCTGCTGCCTTATTATTCTTTGTATGCTGTATAAATATATACCTGCACATACACACACATACATTTACACGTACGTGTACATGTACATAGTATACAAGGATAGAAAGTATACAGATAGACAGATTCCGTACACTCAAAAGAACAGAACAGAAGCCAATGCGACAGAAGCACCTTTCGGCGACCCTTTGGTCAGCCAAGACCCAGGCTGAGGCTGAGCCTGGCAGCTACGAGCAGGAAAGAATGTGGCACCGACGCAAAGTAGTAGGTGCACATGTACACTGACACGACAGCAGGGCATAAACACAAAAAGCAACGAGAAGGACAGATAGAGAGAGAGAGAGAGAGACAAAGCGCCAGGAGGGTAGAGTCTTGGAGAAAACCCGGAGCTTTCGGGAGATAATGTACATGCAAACTTGCGCCAGAACACCAGGTGCATGCGTCTGCTATGCCAGGGAACGTCTTGAGATTTACTCCTTGGTCGAGAGGGACCACTTCCTGGCGATGAGGCAGGCATCGAGATCGACCCTGACCACATGGTGGTATTGGCAATACTGCGGAGCTACCGAAGCAACGGTCAACATTTCGATCTACCCAGGAGGTCGAGGCACTGTAAACCCAAGCTGTGGACAACGACTGCGCCTTCTCAATGGCTTTGCTTGCTACTACAGTGCCACCCTTATTCTTTGCTTCACTAACCTTCCGGTGAACCCAAGCCATGGACCTATGTGATCGTGACGGAATCGTGAAGATGCACATCGCACCCCTTGAATTCTGACGATGGTGATGGCAGTCTTTGGGGTTTCGATGATGATGAGATGGTCAGTCCTTGAACGTTGCTTCGCACATGCAGCTGCGAATAATGAAGTCATCAAAACAGTGGAAGACTCCCAAGTGTTTCTTCTCAAACCCCTTTCTCCCCTTTTGAGGAGGCCCCGAGTCGCTGAGGTGCTCTGAAGTGCAAATATCCTAATTACAAGTAGCAGGCTTATTTGTTGGTGTTTCTCGCAACTCACACTGAGTTCTGTCGCAAGAGCCATAACATTTTGTTCCCCAGAAGTCCGCTCCAAAAGCTGCTGCTGACTGCATCCGGAAGTCTGGAGGATTGAGTGAAGTTCGACGGCTCCTTTGCATGGGACTCTTGGGGTTTGGGCTGCGGCTCACAACTCCAACGCTCCAGGCGAGGCATCGCTTCGGGTTTAGGATAGTTTGCTTTTTCAGGCGGTAGTTTATTTGTTGAGGCGGACTTTCAAGGTCCTCACCGCAGCAGGCATCCAGGGCCTCTGTGCTCAGTTTGGCAAGGCTTTCGAGGTGTTGGCTGCAGGCGGAAAGAGGACAGTGAACTGTCAACCGGAGGTAATGTTTTGCCCCTAAAATTCCTATGCCATATGCACTGCAGAACGTGAGCCGCCCAACCGGCCTGCGAAATCATCGACATTCTTTGGTCTGCAGATTTCGGGTCCGACGCATCCTTCAGGCGGCCCTGGTCCGCGTCCTGCTTAGGATTTAGCTGTTTTTGAGCCCCTTGAGGTTTGAGCTTTTTGGGCCTTAGGGTTAAGGGCTTAGGGTCTCTTACATTCGGCTGGTACAGCAGGACATGACGATGGACCCCTATTTAAGGCTCGGGGAAGCCTGAGACGCCAGGCAGTTGACACGAGTTCTGTCCAACCTGAAAACTGATGAGACATGTACTGGCATCAATGTTACAATCAGCTACCTCCTCTCATTTCCCAGAAACCAACATCGCACATGAAATTCTCCAAAATCACAGTAGCATAAGTTCTGTCGCACACCTCTGACAGCAATGCAGCCCAGCTCAACACTAACAGTAACGTGTTTGCACCTTGCGCGGCTAAACATGAAAGCCGAAACCTTCCTGCGCATGATCGAACGACCGTTTCAATCCATAAAGCAGTCTTGCCTCCGCAGCAGTACCGTAGCCTCCTCAGCGCTGTCACTAGCCGGAGAGTTAAGAAAGTGCAACCTCAACTTCGGCTTACATGCAGATGCACAGGCAAATCTTTGATGATAGTAGTAAAAGCACTAGTAGCAATCTCATATGTAGTACCTAGGACCCACCATATCTGCGGGCCGCGGGATAGAATCATTCATACGCCACCATGGGGTAAGCGCCCGCCGCAAAGGACCAAGCACATAACAATGATGCTCAACACCGCACATTCAATGAGTTAACCAGAATTTCAGCTAAGATAAAATCCCGCGCCGGGTAGAGCTCTGGACTTTTTCGATATTCACGACAGAGATGATTGAATCAGGAGTCCCTCATTCTCGGAAACGAGTCTTCCTGTCTTGCCCATACCTTCGGGCTGCATTGCTGGTGCTTGAAGCCAACTGTCGGATTGATATCACTCTTGGCTCATGTTGATTTTTTCAACGACACGAGATGTTGCAACTTGGTGGCCTCGTGCAGCAGGACGCTTATCGTCGGCTAGAAGATGCAATTATTGCTGCTATAGGTACATCACTGCTGTTCCCAGAGTTTGTTGACTTTTGCAGACATCTCCAACGACAGGCACTATGCAATTAGTCCTGTTGCTCTGTATGCGGAGGTTGCAGTCTCCTGTCTCTGAGATTTCGAAAGCAGTCAGGCTAGACGGCGGACTGCAGAAGCAGAGGTCTTATCCTGATAAGTCATGCTGCCGCTGGCACTACGGGAGCGGTGCAGCGCAGAGAGCAGAAAGCTGCTGGCGTTTCCTTGCGCTGCTCCAAGTTAAGGTGCATACCCATCTGCTAGACGGAGCTGCATAAGTGAAATGTTAACACATGCCAGCGCTAGTTGCTCTTCGGACTGTGGAATCACTCCCCTGTTGCATTCGATCTGCGACGCGGGCAGGCATACCACATACTGATGATTCAGCACAACTCTGTTGGAAACATGGACATCGGTCCAGGGCACGAGCTGCTTTAAGTTACTGTATATCCTATGTGCGGTCAGGCAGAAGATAGCGCTCAGCATGTGCGGCTGGGACTAAAATAAACGCAAACCACTAACACAAACCCTGCAACATACTTACATGTGTGCTCCCACCTTGGTGGACACCGGATCTCTGATGGCATGCTCCCAGCCAGTCATGTATCTCTCTGGCCTGGACAGACTTGGAGACTACTGTGTAGGGTCTCTAGACAAGTGAGCAGTCGACATGCTCGTAGGAAGCATCCACCGATCCACTCACAAACAGCTGCACCGCTTGTTGCTTCCTGGCTAGTGCATGCAAGCACTTTTGAAAGGAGGCATTGGTCTTCTAGATCCACACATTTGGCATGATGAGGCACTTCCAAAGGCTCAGAAAATCGATATCCGTATTTACGCATCTGAGCAAGACACGGTGTCTGGTGCAATTCATTCAAGAAATACGTGCCCGACTGTTTTAGCTTCGCATAGCTTGCTTGCACATGCTGCATCCTGATCTTGCAAACCTGCAACATCAAACCGTCGTGGCCACGTTTGTGCCGGTAGACGTTGCTTCTTGCCTGGAGCTCGGGTTAGTCAATTCTTCCATCGA